ATGAAACTGTTCACTTTTATCATAATTCCTCTCATCGTATAGTTCTATAATCTTTTCCTTTTTTTTGAGTAAGCCAGGGGTAGCCCATTCACTTAATGTGGCGTTACCTTTAACCACTAGCGTTTTTTATGTAAAAATCGTGTTAAAGGTTTAAAAAAAGTTTCAAAAAATCTATTATAATAATAAGTTTCTACAGAGTTAACCAACCTGCCAATAGCCAGCACCTGCTGCCTGCTCTGCTTTTGAGATATTTATACTTATGGGTACTGTCACTAAGTTGTTTTTCGAGACGGTCTATCTCACTTTGTAATTCTCTTGTATCTTTTATATATTGACTCGACATGTTGTCTAGTTCTGCCCGTTTAGTGACATACTATTAATAAAAAAAATATGTTTGTGAATATTATTTTTGTCTTGGGAAATAATTTGCAATGAATTCATCATAAATAATAACAAGTACATTAATAAAGCAATGTACCTAACTCGTAAAGTGATTTGCTAACAAACAAATGTTCCCAAAGTTCCAGTGTTCAATTTAACAATATTCAGTAAAGTGTGATGACATCAAAGATAAGATTCTCTCACAAACAAAGTCTATAAATATTTGTACAATATTATTTTTTGCGCCGTACCGTAAATTGTATAGGTACTATTCAAAAGAAATGAATACATTTACTTATATTTATTTTTTCGTTTGAGTGAGTACAATGTCGGCTACGAATACGTCAAACAAGTATGGACTAATATTAATTTAATAGTTGCAAGAAAAAGATCTTGTAATCAAAAAAAAAAACAAAGAGTTTACTATGAATGCTTAAATACAGTTACTTAATGGAGAAATATCTGTTGCGCATTTCTTAGAAAACATGAAATAATCTTTTCTTAAAAAAAAACAAAATGATCATCGATTTTTTTTGTACTGTCAATGTAATTGCAAATACCCCTGGTTCTCGTCCCGACTTACACCCGAAACCGTTGCCAGGAAATACAGAAAAAATAAACGAATCGCAGTAAACGCGAAACATAAAAATTTGGCTGTCCGCGCGAGCGATAGCGCCAAGATTTATTGTCCCAAACTACCGATGACCCTCCCGCCTCACACGCTTGAACTTGTGATTCACTTACAACACTAATTAAACGTAACGTAAAATATTCTATATTTTTTATAAAATTATTAGAAAAATCTTGTTGTTCATTAGTTTTATTATTTCAAGTCAATGCTCATTTTCCACTTTATTTTAAATAATTAAAAAAAATAAGTTTTTTCAATTGGACTGTTTTCTGTATACTGTAACTTATTTGTGTTATAATTTACATGTAGACAAAGCAAAGTTTCTATAGTGCAACATAATAAGACTTATTTAACTGAGAATTAACATGTCCTCTATCATTCATCAATCTTTGCCTCAATAACATTTAAAAAAATTGTTACCCATCATCCCTTCAATTGACCTTTCCATTGTTGAGAATAAGTTAACTCATTAATACACATTCGATTAGAAATGATGTTCGTTCTCCTAGATTCGTAGACATTCTCCTTGTTCCACCAAGCAAGGCGAGGCGCCTCTCGTTGCGCGGAAATCTTGAACATTAACCCTGATACACCTCCACGTGGAGTCTTTGCACGACAGTCATTTCTGTAGCTGCGGCCAAAACACTTACTCACTAGATAGCTTGGTAAACATCCAAGTAGCGGTAGTATAGAAAACACGGCGGGGGGGAAATGTGCTTTGTGTCTTTGATGAAGGAGACGGCGCGGCGTTGCGCTAATGGAAGCTGTTCAGCGCATTCTGTGGCGCGCTCCCCGCCGTCGCCAGCGCACGCTATATGCAATAATACCTTTGCGATCAAAAGCATCGCCCTATTTGGCGTTTTATTTGTATAATACTGAATAATATGTACTACACGTCATAGTCATACATACGTTCCTAGGTATCAATTGTTTTTTTAAACACAATTTGTCACTTGTTATTCAACTCGAGGGAGGGGAGCTGACTGCCACACACCATTCGCCCTGTCAGCCACGCAGCATCAAGACCCAATTGTCACACATAACATATTCTTCACTTTGGATATCTGACACAAGTCCATTCAAGTACCGCCGCAGCGAGACATATATTAGCGGTGCGTGGTGCCCTCTCCTCGCGCTATTGTTCGCGCGCGTCTCTCATCTTGTACATAAATTGCTCCTCGTTGTATCAAATGGAATTGTGGTCTATTCATGCCCACAATTTACGCGCCGTTGTCACACAATACAAGGACAAGGACTATAACATATAACCACGTTTAGTACCATTACTTACTGCTCGTGATGCTTTCACTCGTTGTTCGAGATCTCAGACGAAACTTTGAGTTATTTTAAATGCGGTCACCTACACTACACCTAAGGGGAATTAATTACTCCTATTATACAATTGTTTAGAGTATGTAAGGGTTTGGCTACAAGCACAACACACTTCATAAATTAGTCACATACCAGTCACAATCAACACAACACAACACACAGGGGGTGTGGGACTACGATAAATTTTCCCCTAATCAACCAGGTACATTCGGAGCAAATTTGTTGTGATAGTCGGATGGACATATATTGTTGTAATACCTGAACTCTCTAAGTGACATTCAATTTTGTCAATAAATTTGGCCGGGATAGATAGTAGCCTCTGTGCTATTCTAGACTATAATCAGACAACCGTTTTGGCCTGATTACGTAATTACGTTTTGAGGAGTTGACTACACGGATGGCGTAGTGGTTTAAGCGGTCGCCACGCCGCTTCCTACTGCGCCGAGTGTTGTGGGTTCGAACCCCACACGGGACGACATTTTGTGTGATCCACAAATTGTTGTTCTGAGTCTGGGTGTACTTTATGTCCGTTTCGTGTATGTTTGTAAAGTCCCCCACGACACAGAATTTATTCCTATTGCGGGGAGTTGTCTTTTTAAAGAAAAAAGAAAAAGAAAGAAAAGAGTTAAAAATAAGTCTAATTCTTTTTGATAGAGAATATAATTATACTGAGAATTTGGAATCATCATCATCATCAACAGCCTTTAATAGTCCACTGCTGGACATAGGCCTCTCCTTAGAAAGGAGGTTTTGGCCTACTATACCACGCTGGCCAGACGGGTTGGTATAGGAATAGTTTCAAGTTTTCCATCTCTTTGCAGTGCTTGCTGCTGTCCTGCGTAGTTTGCTTCCTTAGTCGGCTCTTACGACACCCAAGGGATAAACGGAGGTGGTGACACTCCGTATTCTTAATCAGTCACCACATGAACCACACACCCTTGTCAAGGATAGTTTTGAAAAATTAGTAAAAACGTTTTTTATTACTTTTAATAAAGAGTATTTACTGTGGGTTTGAAAACGCTACGAGTACTTCCAAAAATAACGAACTTTATGTAAGGCAAAACCCTTCTTTAAAGAAAAAACTGACAGAATGATTCACTAACTGATCGATCAACGCACAGCTGAAGCCGCTGGGTCTGAAAGCATCAAATTTTGCACAAATGTTCCTTGGATGACGTAAAAGTGCACTAAGAAAGGGTTTTTAAAAATTCCACCGGTGAGGGTGCAAAAGGGTTTGGATTTTTTTATGAAACTTCATTATTTTTAATAAGGTAATATACTTTTTATCTATACTAAAATTATAAAGAGGTAAAGTTTGTGAGTTTGTATGTTCGGGCTAATCTCAGGAACTACTGGTTCCATATAAAAAAATATTTTAGTGTTGGATAGCCCTTTTATCGAGGCCCTTTTATATAGGCCATAATAATATAAAGTCACGCTACGACCAATAGGAGCTGAGTATCAATGAATATTGTTGCGAAAATACTGTACATTGATTGATGCAAGAGATTGCTACGAGTATTAGCCATGAGGCCGCCTGTTGTACATATCCGTCTATCATATTTAACCAACTTACTGTAACTGGTGTACAATTAAGCATATTATATGCTATTCTACATTGATGCCTTTTGAAGAAGAGACGACGTTGCGCGGGTCAGCTTGTTTATAGATATCATCATCATCATCAACAGGATCTAATAGTCCACCGCTGGACATAGAACTCTCTTTAGAAATGAGTATTTGGCCTACTATAGATATACATGAGAATTTCGACGGTGAATTTTGAATTATTAATGGCTGTACATGTGCTGTACCTATACCTTGCCTGCATGATATGTGTATGCCTATTGCTTGTGGGCTCCGATTTCCGCATTTAGACTCGAGGGTGGTCCTTTATGCGCCTAGAAGAGGTTGGCTAGGTGAGCCAACCAAGCTCCTTCCAGAAGCGCAGAAGCTTCCTGGGGCGTTCACAGGCTTCTAGGAGCGATTTTATACCAGGTATGGTACTTGTACATTGTGAGGCCACTCCCTCGTATTCCAGGATTATGTGGGCGGCCGTTTCTTCTGCTTTCATGCATCCTCTGCAAACAGGACTGTCTGTGGCAATAATGATGAATAGTTGTCGATTCAGGGCTAGGTGTCCTGTTATGGTTCTTGTAACTATTCGGATATCTAGTCTGCTAAGACCGATCAGTCTGCTAGTAAGTCGTGGTGAGACTTCAGTCAAAACCAGTTTGGACTGTCTGCAGCCGGGTGAATTTTTCTACCTCCGGTCGAAGTTGATTAAAAGGCAGTGGCAGGAGTGTGGTTTGGCCGGTGGCCGAGGTTTTGTAGCCCCTTCTTGCCAACTCATCTGCAGTGTCATCCATTTCTAACATCAAGCGTCGTTCAGTCCCGTACTCAAGGAATACCTACCACAGTCGTGTGGAAAAGCCTTAGGGGCATTACTTACAACATACCCCAAAGAAATACAAAATATCTATCTTGCAAAGACTATATTCAAATTAAATCTAAGTATAATTAGTGAGGTTATATAGGAATCACACCCTCCATGGTCATTAAGAGTGTGCTGGGGCGCGAATTACCGTGTGAATGTTGGCGGTTGTGAAGTGTCGGGCACGCGACACGTACCGCTCCTTCGTCAACTACTAACTAGTTAAACGTCGCCGAGGGCCGTCCCCGCGCCGCCTGACGCATGTGGAAACTTGTCGCGTCGCTCGCCAACTTGCGTCAAACTATCGTTAGCGAACCGCGCCGCTGCATGCCGCGCCGCGTGCCATGTCGCGCTAACGACCTCGTACCTGCTCGACGACCATTCGCAGCACAACTATGTATTATCGCGTCCGGACTCACGCTTGTCACTGTTGGAAATGCGCCTGTAACCTGAAAATGCAGCCATTTGGAGGATATTCATTATTTTCTACTATTGCACATAAACTGTAATCTGCGAACGTATCGATGTGTGACTTTCATTCACTGGCCTGTATTAACTAACGAGTCTATTCATTCGGTTGCCAGTAATGAACTAGTTTATTCTCCACAGGTTTCGCGCGGTCACCTCATTGCCCAGCCTTTTTTACTCTTTTCATTACTTTTATTTTATTTCATTACTATTACTTTTCATTACGAAATGCATAATAGAAAAATGAATCAAAAAGCTAGAAACACTCTTCTGGTACAAAATTCACACTCGAATAGGAAAATGACTGCACGGATGGCGTAGTGGTTTAAGCGGTCACCTCGCCGCTTCCTACTGCGTTGAGTGTTGTGGGTCCGATCCCCACATGGGACAACACTTTGTGCGATCCACAAATTGTTGTCCTGAGTCTGGGTGTTTTTTGTGTCCGTTTACTGTATATTTGTAAAGTCCCACGCGACACAGGATTATCCTCCCCACAATAAACCAAACACAATAAAACATTGTGCACCCAAGATGGTGAGCTATTATTACAAGTACAAGCTGACTTGACAGTGTTGAGGCAGTACGGGTGTGCGAAGTGAGCGTAAAATTCATTCAACGAGGCATTCGGCGACATACCGCGCCAGCAATGCCATCTCGGCTTGCTCCACGTTGCCCACCAAACGAAAGCGATTGTTTATGCAGAGCCGCCCCGTCGCTAGCTCCCCGCTACGAGCCGAGCAACTAACTAAAATATTCATAGCAAAGTATGTAGACGCCAGCGGCGGTGTCTCGCTACCTAATATCTCCTTAATAATACATTGTAGGAATACTCTACAAACAACGTATGTACATCTAAAACGCACGCTTGCTTTGACGACACGCGCAATTCAAGTAAACGACAAAAATGTAGTAGCTAGTTCATGTTGTACAAAAATCTCAGCAACATTTTGCAAAAACTGAAAAGTGAGAGTTACTGAACCGTAAAAATATATTCTTGTAAAACTTACCCTACCAGTGTGATTGACACCTTAACGCGAATTACTTGTGGTGGAGGTGGTGAGATTTAAAACCTCCGATATAAAAATGGCTCGCTAGAGGCGCTCTGTGCGGCGGCCCCCGGCGATCTTGCTACGTCGTTTCTGCGTCAAGAGGTAAGCGCCCGCTGTAGGTACTCCCATCGCAATCTTGATCGAATCCGCTGGACGAGTAATTTCCGCGTGTCACCAGCAGCGGGCGCCCGCACCCCTTCAAACGTTTGTACATATGTATATCGTTGAACGTACACTACATATATTTGAAGTTTTGGAAAAGAACTTTCAATTCGTAATACTACTAGGCATTACTCTAGTTATAAATACCTATGGCGCTATTCGATTCGTTATCCATCTAGGTGTAATAGAATAGTCTTTATTGTACAACATTATTGTAGAACAGTTCAGTACAGAACAGTTCAGTACATACAATAGTATCCAAGCTAATAGCCATGTACAAATGGCGTACTTATCGCTAAAAGCAATCTCTTACAGGCAACCTTTGGATCGACAAATAGACTGTAAATAGCTAGTTTCATGGGCAGTTTTCGTGTGAAAAAAAAGTGTATAGGAATCGAAACATATTTATACAGCACAACAGCATTTGATTGTGATAATAGGTAAGAAAACAAATAGTATTGATTGTACAGCAGTTGTTCTAGCAATACCTACTTAAATAAATACACGTTAATACATAAGTGATCAGTAAAACATACACACATTATACAAATTAGAAATACAAACATACATACATACATACACAAATACATGAAATCTACAATATAATTCATACATTCTTGCAGAGGAATACAACAGATAGAATATGTTTTGTAAATAATAAATTAAGATGATAGGATTACCTATCATCTTGGTTAAAGAACATTAGTTCTTTAACCATTTTTCAAAGATAGGCAAAGGCAAAGTCTCGTAGAACGTTATTGTTCAATCATGAACATAATTGCATCACTCAGCAACAGCATCTATGTCACACGTGGTGCGGCGTAAAGTCGATGCACTGTCAATATTTCGGCATGACCGAGATTAAGACAGCTGCATCAACACAACACACGGATGGCACACAAGCAAATAGCCATCCATGTGTACTTAGAGTAAGTTTAGTATATAAGAGTTATTATTATGTAAATAAATCAGCGATTTTGTCTAATCCGACTTTGACTCATTACCCTGTCCCACCTCTCACTGCGGCCAAGACACCTTTAGCCCTCAGTAGATCGGTCTTGTGAGTCTGCTCGACCGGCATCGGCAGTGAGAAAATCATCTCCTTAACCCCGCTCCCTTCACGCCTCCGTCTGTTACCCTAGGTCTCCAGGTATATATACCCTCAGCGCAGGGTCACATATTGGTAGGGCTAGGGAATTTAGGTACTTAGGCGTAGGTTACACACGAGTATTGCTCGGTTCACTACGGTGCCCGCTCGATACACGTACTTAGGTTGTAATTTAGATAGGCTTTCAGTGTTACACGTACGAGTGCTGATTGGTGTACCACGGTTGCCAGTCCGCACCCGTATAGTGATACAGTGTGATGGTACTGCAAGTTCCAGAGATAGATAAGTAAGTAGATCCTCTGAATACCTGGTTTTCATTATTAAGTTCTCAGAATTCCTACTGCATTGCATTGGCGGCGGCGATGACATCTGGATTATTTAATCGCTGCTTAACACAATCCTATGGAATTGGTCGGCCACCAATTCCATAGGATTGTGTTAAGCAGCGATTGTTCTAGCAACGTTGAATAGATCATAAATTAATTTTCTTAAAAATTTCAATACATCACGTACATGGGAATATTACTACTTGTAGTATATTATTTATTGACTTTTCTTTACTCCTTAGCTATAGTCCTTGGAATTTGATACACCTTTATAACTTCATTTGTTTATACTCGTATATACTTATATAACTATGATATGGTAGTAGTCGGCGCACGTCAATGTTGCACGATACTCGATGTGAGGCGACCGGCGGTAGGGGGCGCGTTCTAATCACTGTCCGATTGTCTAAGGGCCTCTTGTTAACGGCGCCTTTTAAATATTCAACAGCTCTCATTACTACACAAACTTTATCTTTCCTCTCTCATTATTCGCGAGGAGCGTCGCGGGGTCCGTTGGGTGCGGAGGGGGGGGAGAGTTTCTGGCTCTGTAGCTGCGGGTTTGATTCGCGACGAAGCGCCGCTGCTAACTGGATTACGTAGCTTTAATTGTAACCGTTTACTGGAGGGGAACAGTCGGAGCTATGGGGATCAGTCTTCTGATTTAAAACGTTCTCAGACTTCTATCCAAGTTTGGAAACTTGCAAAGTAAACTGAACCGTTCCATTGATTGTATCTTTTGGTCCCGAGAGAACAAATTTATTCACTTGAGTTTATTTAGGAAATAAAGAGAAATAGATGCACATAATACTGAATACGTAACCTGGCAATAATGCTCATATATATTAATCAATAAATAAGGTGCAATTTGTCAACGTTGCTAGCCAAAATTTAATTATTGAATTCATAATTTTTACCTTTAAAAATATACTGAACTTCAGCGTCAGTCGAGTGTGACACGTGAAAGGTTCGATGATTTTCCAGTTTATATTTACCTCGGGCGAAGGCTCCTGTCGTCGCTCCTACTTTGGCCAACAAATGCGGCGGAGGTCAAATTAAAGCTTGTAGAACTACCGGCGTGTTTTTGCCAGTCCACAATACATCATGAACGCTCCCCTCGTACACCCCGTCAACGACAAAGAGTGTCTTGTGCAGTTGGATTAGGGCCGAAGGTGAGTGCATTTTACTGCGACGCTTAGTGCTTCATAGTCTCGACTCTGTATTAAATGTTTTTGTGACTTCCGAAATGCGAAACGGCTTTTTAGATTTTAGACTCATTAAGAGAGGCTCATTGAACATTGGGCAGTAGGTATTAATATTGTATAAAGATCCAAAAGAATCTCTCTCTTTCTGAATTGAATTTTTCCACTCGTGGAAGTCAAGTTAAACACATCTTGTATGCGTGTACGAGAAGTAAAATAAATAATTTTATAGAAAGGAATCTCTGAATAATACGCATTGTTTCACAAATCGTTTATTTTTATTATTGTATTTACATAAGTGTTCAAACCCTCTTCATCCAGAGGATGTCTCAGTAAGATTTCATTTTAAATGACACACGATAATTAAGTAAGTTTTATAATTTCTGGTGTTGAAAATACATCTATCAAGAACAAAATGCATCTTTAAAAATTCTAGATTCGTAATGCAGTACTAAAGATTTTCGGTGTGCCTGTTTACTACAAAGGCATCGAGGGGGTGGGGGTCTAGTAGCTGGAGCTTGGCCAAATAACCCCGGCTCTCATCCGGGTAATCATCCGTCCTAAGAATTATTTCGTAGTTTAACGAAGCTTCAAATAGCCCTTTGAAGTACTTACATATATACGGACATGACAGCCGCACTGATTAGGTCAACAATCATAGGTCTTTGTTGATCATGAATTGATCATTTTGTTCATTATGGAATTTAATAAAATGTATTTGTACATCGTTATTCTTAATATCTATCTAGTTTTAGTTACTGACATGTGATATTTGTACTAGTTTCTACCGTTGCCTGAAATAGTCAGAATTACATAAATCATAAAGATCCCAGTGGATATACCATATCAAGAATTTTTACAATCAAAGGGGCTGAAAGCATACAGCAGTGACTTCAGCATGCATACAAAAGTGCATAAAAGGTATTTTATCATAATTAAGGCTGGTTGTTGCTTGTTGGGAAACCCACTACACATGAAGGTCATGCAAAACTGGTGTTCATCTGGTGACACAGTTGGACCCTATCATAATACCTCTAGAGAACTCGGCCCGGTCGGTGTATTGCTTAACAAATTTGACTTTTAGTTCTTTCCTTTTTTTTCTGTTTATTAAATGCACTACACATTACAATCAAACAATACATCGTTTAGATCTGGATCGTAACGTAACTCATATGTGCACAAAGAAAAACAATGAAGTCTTTACAAAAAATATCTCTGATTCATAATACTGCAAGTAATATAAAATAAGTAGCAAAGTAAGTAAGCAGCTAATGTGATGCAGATCTGAATGCTAATGCAAACCCAACTCACTATGGAGGATGTCTTTCACTAATTTACTATATCTGTTATATTTATGATCAAAAAGGTATAGTAATTTATTGATTTTTGAGATATCATTATATTGACGGGCCATTCTTGTTAATGGATGGTAGTAAGAAATGTTTAATTTTATATATTTGAAGGGCAAATATATTCGTATCATTAGCTCTGCGAGCACTAAGTTTAATATTGAAACTGATTTGAGAAAGTAACTCCGGTGAATCAATAATATAATGTATAATTTTGTAGAGAAAACCAAATCGACATAAGTGCGTGGGGTCTCTAATGGCTGAACCTTATTTTTGCTAAGTCTGCTTTCGTAGTTTCAATTTGACCAACCAGGGCTATTTTGATAGTTGAGAATTTTAAGGAATTATCAATATGGGCCTTGTAATTAGGCGACCATATGGGGCTACCATATTCTAATATATTACTCACCAGGGCAAAGTATAGGTACAAAGAACTGATAAGATTTCTAAAACCTTTAGGTGGTCTCGAAACAAAGCCTTGGAGTTGGTTGAATGAAATGAAATGAAAGTTTGTCGTCAAAAATAATTCCTAAGTCTTTTACAGCCTGTGTCCGATTTATTGTTT